ATGATATGATATGATATGATATGATATGATATGACATGATATGATGGTATATCCACAGAGCGTTGGTTTGATGCGGATGGAGAATGAGATGAACGGAGTGAGCCAGGCGTTCTCTGACGTCATCGAAGCTGACATAGATCCATGCAAGCATGGCGAGCAGTGCGACTGTAACGACCCCGGTACGTACAGCAACGACCCGTTTGAAATGGCATACGAGTGCCGTGATTGGTCGTTGACAGTTTCTAACGAGTGCTGTGATTGGTCATGGACAGTTTCTAACGAGTGATGTCATTGGTTGTGGACAGTTTTTAACGAGTACTGTGATTAGTTGTGGACAGTTTCTAGCAAGTGCTGTGATTGGCTGCCGACGATTTCTAACGAGTACCGTGATTGGTTGTTGACAGTTTCTAACGAGTGCTGTGATTAGTTGTGGGGACATTCTGACGAGCGTTGTGATCGGCGGCCGACAATTTCTAACGAGTACCGTGATTGGTTGTTGACAGTTTTTAACGAGCGCCATGATTGGCCGTTTGCAGATGGCGGCAAGCTGTCGTCGCGCGGTGCCCGTAAGCGGCTCTACTTCAGCCCCGCCTACTTCGAGAAGGAATTCATGCAGAATCCGCCGCCGAAAGCCACCGAGTTTCTCGCGGAACTTCGCTACATGGTGGCACTAGCGAAGGCGCGCATTAAGCAGCGGCAGTACTACCCGACACTGCGGCCAATCAGGGAGCTAGACGAGGTGGCCAATGAGATGGAGGTAAGGTTTGAGAGAGGAAGGATGAGGGGGAGGGTGGATCGTGGAAGGAAGGAAGGAGGTAGATACTTATGCAGTTTCCTCACAGGTGGCGGAGGTCACTGAAGTGTAATTGGAATGAGGGATTGTAAGATATATGAAGGGAAGGGTAGATCGAGCAATCATTCACATAATTTCTGATAGGTTCATGATAATGAAGTGATGGTATGTTCTTATGTAGTGCTCAGTAGTTCTCATGTAGTTCTCATGTGTGTTCTCATGTGTGTTCTCTTGTGTGTTCTCATGTAATTCCACATGTGTGTTCTCATGTAGTTTTCATGTAATTCTTTATGTGTGTTCTCATGTAGTTTCTCATGTAGTTCCTCATGTGTGTTCTCATGTAGTTCTCATGTGTATTCTCATGTAGTTCCTCATGTGTGTTCTCTTGTGTGTTCTCATGTAATTCCTCATGTGTGTTCTCATGTAGTTCTCATGTGTATTCTCATGTAGTTCCTCATGTGTGTTCTCTTGTGTGTNCGCCTCCTCCATCTCATATGTACCCCAGCCTCCACCACCTGTGTACCTCCCTCACCCCTCCGTGGTTCCCCGTCCCCAGTGTCTCCTGCGTCCCAGCTTGTCACACCTGTTTTAATGCACCTGTCCTTCTTCCCCATCCACAGGTAAGAAATCTCGCTAACGCACCTGTCCTTCTTCCCCATCCACGGGTAAGAAATCTCTTAACACACCTGTTCTATTTACCCTCTCACAGGTAAGAAATCTTGTTAAAACCTGTCTGATTCCCATTCAGTGAGTAATAATGCTCGTTAACACACCTGTTGCCATTCCCCATCCCCAGGTAAAAAATCTCGTTAACACACGTGTCCTATCCCCACTCCATGTAAGAATGCTCGATTGGGTAAGAACGCTCGTTAACACACCTGTCCCATTCGTAAGAACGCTCGTTAACACACCTGTCCCATTCGTAAGAACGCTCGTTAACACACCTGTCCCATTCGTAAGAACGCTCGTTAACGCACCTGTCCCATTCGTAAGAACGCTCGTTAACACACCTGTCCGCAGGTAAGGACTCGGGCAGCGACTCGGCGACGAGCAGCGACGACTCATACTACAACTCTCTCAAGCGCTTCAAGCTGCTCCAGCGCAGCGCCAGCGATTCCGACACCGCCCTCAAGGCGGCGCTGCTGCTGCGGCAACGCGTCATCGACGATCGCGCCAACGATCGGCCGTCCAAGGCCAACAGCTGGATGTCGCACTCGTCCGTCGCCGTGACGATCGAAAACGTAGATAAGATGGCGACGGCGGCGCGCGGGGAACGGTTCGGTGGCGGACGCCGCAGCGCGAGCAGCCCCGCGCTGTTCGCATGCAAGAACAACCTGAACGACGTGAACAACCTGAACGACGTGAACAACCTGAACGACGTGAACAACCTGAACGACGTGAACAACCTGAACGACGCGAACAACCTGAACAACTTGAACGACGCGAACAACGCGCAGAGGAAGGGCGTGACGTTCCGCGGCGACGCAGAGACGAATCGCGGCACCGGCGAGTACGGTCGCCACGGCAACGCCGTCGCCGCCCCGCATCCCGCGTCCTCGCCGCATCCCGGCTCCGGCCGCCGCCTCGCCCTCGCGGACGGTGGCGCCCCCGCACGGGAGGGGCCGTCGCCGCGGAAACCGCCGCGCGCCGCCGCAAAGTCGGCGTTGCAGATCATCGCCGAGTCGATCGTCGGACGGCGGCTGCTGGCGCCCCCTGGCGGCGGAGGCGGCGACGCGTTGAGCGACACATCGTCGGATTGTAGCACGCTGCCACTACGGCGCATGACCCACAAGGAGCGAGGCGAGCTGACCGTGTTTGACCACACGGTGGCGCTGTAGTCTGTGAACTGACCACACGGTGGCGCTGTAGTCTGTGAACTGACCACACGGTGGCGCTGTAGTCTGTGAACTGACCACACGGTGGCGCTGTAGTTTGTGAACTGACCACACAGTGGCGCTGTAGACATGGGACCGGACTGTTTGATTGAGGGATGATCCTATAGTGCATTGTTTTACCACTAGGTGGTGCTGCGCAGTTCGATCAGGTTTCAGCCTGAGAACACAAACTTCTCCAAGCTTCCCGTGCAAAACACTGGATCACGTCTCGCATTTTTTCGCACGGCGCGATTTTCCTTAAAGTTGATCCACCTCGCAGCTAAATGCATATATATACCTACTGTGAGTTT